GTATATTATCAAAGAAGCAAGTTCTAAAGAATTTCTGGCCAGAAGCAGTAAACTAAACAATGCACGTGCTCAACAAAAGTCATACAGTAGTAGTGAAAGATATGACTCCTGAGGAGGCTTGGAATGACCTAATGTTGATTATTTTCAAGTTTTTGGTTGCATTGGGCATGTTCATGTATTAGATGGTAAGAGAAAGAAGTTAAATGATAAATGTTTTCAGTGTGTGCTTCTAGGGATGAATGAAGAGTCTAAAGCATATAAACTCTATGATCAAGTGTCCAAGAAGATTGTTGTAAGCAAAGATGTGATTCTTGAAGAAAACAAATGTTGGAATTGTGGGGAAACTAATGAAGAAGCTAGACTTGATACCCTGAATGGGAAGATAGTAATATAGAAGGAAGTGAACATAACCAAAGTGAGGAATAATCTGAAGAGGAGACAATAGCAGAAGAAGGGGAAGTTAATATATCTTCCAGTGAGTCATCTGAATCAAATTCCTCAACATCTGAAGAAAGCACTCCCGAAGTGAGGAACACAAGAGCACCATTATGGATGAAAGATTATGTGAGCGAGGGAGAATTTTCTGAAGAAGCTGAGCACAACAATTTAGTTCTATTAACCTCAACTATAGATCCGACTACCTTTGAAGAAGTTGTTCAAAGTTCAAAATGGAGAGCTGCAATGGACTTGGAGATGGAAGTCATCAAACAAAATGAGACTTGGGAGTTGACAGATTTGCCTTAAGGAATGAAGAAAATTGGAGTAAAGTGGGGTTTCAAAACCAAACTCAACGAAAATGGCGAAGTTGACAAGTATAAGGCTAGGTTGGTAGCAAAAGGTTATGCACAACAACATGGTATAGACTATATCGAGGTGTTTGCACCTGTGCTAGGTGGGATACTATTCGAATGATTGCTTTAGCAGCTCGGAATAGTTGGAACGTGTATCAGCTTGACGTGAAAAGTACTTTCTTCTATGGAGAATTAAGAGAAGTCGTCTTTGTTGAGTAGGTTATGAGAAAAAAGGTCAAGAATACAAGTTATACAAACTGAAGAAGGTATTATATGGCCTTAAACAAGCCCCACGTGCATGGTACAATCGAATTGAATCACATTTTGTCACAGAAGGATTTGAGAGGTGCAATTGTGACCATACTTTATTCATACAAACAGGAGATGAAGATAAAATTTGATTGTTAGTCTATATGTTGACGAGCATGTTTGTTAAGTTCAAGAATTCTATGAAACTTGAATTTGAAATGACTAATTTGGAAAAAATGAAATATTTTCTCTGTGTGGAGATTTTAAAAAATCATGAAAGCATTTATATTAGTCAGAGAAAGTATGCAAAAGAAGTTTTGGAGAAGTTTAGGATGGAAAAAAGTAATAGTGTGAAAAGCCCTATTGTTCTTGGGGTTGGACTAACAAAGGATGAAGAAGGAGCCAAAATCAATGCTACCATGTATAAACAATTGATTGGAAGCCTTATGTATCTAATTGTAACAAGATCGGATTTAATGTATGTAGTGTCTCTAATAGCAGATTTATGGCAACTCCAACAGAATTGCATTTGCAAGCTAAAAAAAGAGTGTTGGGATACTTAAAAGGTAATGTAGATTTGGGAATCCTTTATCAGAAAAGGGGTAATGGAGAGTTGATAACATATACTGACAGTGATTATGCAGGAGATATAGATGACATGAAAAGCCCTTCTGGCTATGTGTTCTTACTCAGTGATGGAGTGGTGTCTTTGTCCTCTAAAAAACAACCTGTAGTTACGTTATCCACCACTGAAGTAGAATTTGTGGCAGTAGCGTCTTATGCTTGTCAAGGGGTGTGGATGAGGAGAGTTTTGGAAAAATTTGGTCATGTTCGAGACAAGTGTATCACTATGTTATGTGATAACAGTTCCACTATTAAGCTACCCAAGAATCCAATCATGCATGGACGTAGCAAACACATTGATGTGAGGTTTCATTGCTTGTGTGATTTGACCAGAGATGGAGTTATTGAGTTGAAGCATTGTGTCACACAAAAACACGTTGCAGATATTATGACAAAACCACTGAAGCTGGATGCATTCATAAAACTACGTGAGTCAATGGGTATGTGTCTAGTGTTAGATAGGGCATCGAGTTGTCGTTGAGCGAGTGATCAGGGAGACAACGATCGCCACCGTTCAGTACCACCCGATGCTGACAAGGTCTAACTACAACGAGTGGGCCTTGTTGATGCGCGTCAACCTACAGGCGGAAGGAGAAATGATCAAGTACCAAGAGGATCGGCTGGCGTTTGCCACCATATTTATGGTCTGTTCCCCTAGAAATGTTGGCGTCTCTCTCCATCAAACGCACCGTGCAATCGGCCTGGGAGGAAGGACCTCTCGAAGATCCGCTTTAAGGACGGCGAATCCATCGATGATTTTTCAATGCTTTAAGGACGGCTTTAAGGAGGTGGAGGTAATCGATGACGACGTAACTGCTCCTCTGGTGAGCGTCGAACCTGAGGAAGAGCTCCAGCTGGGCGTAGCAAAGGCACTAGCGGGGGAGCCAATTCAACTAACGGAGGAGCGAGTGTTCGCTCAGATCGGCGAGAGGGACGAGCAGCATGAGCACTGGCGATGGGTCCTCAACACAGGGGCAACAAACCATATGACCGGGGCTAGATCTGCGACGCTCGCGCGGGAAAGATGGTGATCACAAAAAGGAGTCGACCGATGGCCGGCCGATCCAGTGCTCGAACTGTGGGAAGAGAGGTCGAGCAAGAATTGCTTAAGCAAGCTCAGGAACAAAGAGAAGGCCGAGAAGGCCGAGAAGGCTGAGAAGGCCCATGTGGCTCAATCCAAAGAGGATGAGCCAGCTCTCTCCATGGTAAGTGCATCGGTCTTATCCGACGTCCCTAGTTTTGATTCCAAATCTACGGAGGTGGAGATAATCAATGACGGCGTAACTGCTCCTCTGGTGAGCATCGAACCTGAGGAAGAGCTTCAGCTGGGCGTAGCAAAGGTACTAGCTGGGAAGCCAATTCAACTGACGAAGGAGCGAGTGTTCGCACAGATCGAAGAGAGGGATGAGCAGCATGAGCACCGGCGATGGGTCCTCAACACAGAGACAACAAACCATATGACCGGGGCTAGATCTGCTTTCTCTGAGCTCGACTCAGGAATTCGCGGGACGGTAAAATTTGGCAACGGCTCTGTCGTCGAGATCGAAGGGCATGGCACCATCCTGTTCATCACCAAAGGAGGCGAGCACCGCAAGCCGACCAACGTCTACTTCATCCTGAGGCTCAAGGCTAACCTTGTGAGCCTGGGTCAACTCGATGAGGCCTGCTGCTTCATTTCCATCAAGCGCGGTCTATTCAAAATCTGCGATGATCGACAACAGTTGCTCACGCAAGTTCGGCGCACGACAAACTGTCTTTACATCCTAGTGTTAGAGATAGAGCAATCCGTCAGCCTCTCGGCCAAGACCGAAGAGGTATCTTGGAGGTGGCCCGAAGGTACGGGCACTTAAATTTTCCTGCTCTAGAAAAACTACAGAAGGAGGAGATGGTGCACGATTTGCAGGTAATCAAAGGCGTGAACAAGATGTGCGACGGGTACCTCATCGACATACAGAGGTGCACCCCCTTTCCATCTCGGACATCCTATCGCACCGATGAGCCGTTGGAGCTTATACATGGCGATATCTGCGGGCCCATCAAGCCGGTGACTCCAGGCGGTAAGACCCTCTTCCTCCTGATGGTCGATGACAAAAGCCACTTAATGTGGCTAATCCAGCTGCAAGCGAAAAGTGAGGAGGCAGAGGTGGTTAAGCGCATTCAAGCGCGAGCGGAGGCCGAATGTGGGAAGAAGATGCGAGTGTTGCGCACAGACCGAGGCAGAGAATTCACCTCAACAAGTTTCGGTAAGTACTGTGATGAGTTCGGTATACAACAGCAATTAACGGCGCCCTAATCCCCCCAGCAAAACAGAGTGGTGGAACACCGAAACCAAACCTTCGTCGGGGATGTAAGGCCTTTGCTGATGACGGCCAAGATGCCTGGGAGATTCTGGGGAGAGGTGGTAATGACGGCTGTCTATCTCCTTAATCGGTCGCCAACCCGAAGCCTCGACGGGAAGACGCCATAAGAGGCCTAACACAACATAAAGCCAACGGTACATCACTTCCGAGTGTTCGGCTGCGTCGCATACATTAAGGTAGCGCGTCCCCACCTCGCCAAGCTCAATCCTAGGGGGCTAAAGGTCGTCTTCATTGGCTATGAACCTGGGAGCAAGGCGTACAGACTTTATATCCTGTAGGGGGTGAGCTCACGTGTCTTGCGACGACATCTTTAACGAAAGCACATTCTGGCAGTGGAATGACGTGATCGAGGCAGACCACAACCTAAATCAATTCACGGTGGAGTACCTCGACATCGAGCCGGAAGAAGGAGGAGCCCAGCATCAGGATCCGTCACCGCCGCCAGCAGGTGCACCCCCTGCACCAATGGAGTTCGCAACAACACGGAGTTCGCAACACCACGGACTGCGGATTCAATACTGGATGCCGATCATGATGATGATCTAGTGGCCAGGTACCGGAGGATGGACGACCTAGTGGGAGATGGTGAACCCCTTGGACTTGCAGCGCGCGAGCTCGAAGAAGTGGCCAAACTGCATGCCATCAGCAAAGATGAACCAAACACCTTCACCGAAGCAGAAAGAAACCCATGCTGGCTGAAGGCAATGCAGGAGGAGATGACATCCATCACCGAGAACCAGACATAGAGTCTGGAGGATATGCCGCCAGGACACTGAGCCATAGGGCCCAAATGGGTCTTCAAACTGAAGCGCAACGAAAAGGGAGAAGTTGTGAAGCACAAGGCCCGTCTGGTGGCGAAGGGCTACGTCCAGAAGCAAGGAGTGGACTTCGAAGAGGTATTTGCGCCGGTGGCAAGGTTAGAATCCATCCGCCTTTTGTTGGCAATCGCGGCACATTACTCTTGGAGGTCCACCACATGGACGTGAAGTCCGCTTTCCTTAATGGAGAGCTGAAAGAGACCGTCTACGTCCGACAACCACCTGGCTTCCTGGACAACGACAACCCAGGTAAGGTACTGCGCCTGCACAAGGCACTCTACGGGCTTCAGCAAGCACCACGAGCCTGGAACGCGAAGCTCGACAGTACCCTACTGTCACTGAAGTTCAAGCACCGTGCCTCTAAGCATGGCATGTACACACACGACCACGGCAGCAGCGACTGATTGTGGAAATGTACGTCGACGACCTCATAATCACTGGAGGCGACATGGAAGTCCTCAAAAGGTTCAAGAGAGAGATGTCAAAAACTTCAAGATAAGCGATCTCGGTGTACTCAGCTACTACCTCGGTATCGAAGTGCAACAGAGTACTGCTGGCATCACCATCTGTCAAAGTGCGTACGCAAAGAAGCTGTTGGATATTGCTGGGCTAGCAGACAGTAATCCTACAAGGACGCCAATGGAGGCCCGACTCCAGTTGAAGAAGGCCGACACTACGACGGCAGTTGACTCCACCCATTATCGCAGCATTGTTGAGAGTCTGCGCTATCTAGTAAACACTCGCCCTGATCTTGCTTATTCCGTTGGATAGGTGAGTAGGTTTATGGAAACACCTAGGGAGGAGCATCTAGTGGCTGTCAAGCGCATCCTGCGCTATGTAGCCGGAACCAGAGGCTAAGGTGTAAGATACTGCGTAGGGAGAGGAGAGAAGAAGCTTGAGCTAGTCGGCTATAGTGATAGTGACATGGCCGGTGACGTTGATTATCGTAAGAGCACCAGCGGGATGATTTACTTCCTCTCAGGCAGTGCGATCTGCTGGCAATCAATTAAGCAAAAGGTAGTTGCTTTATCTTCTTGCGAAGCAGAGTACATTGCCGCTTCGACGGCAGCAGCACAGGGGGTCTGGCTTGCGCGACTGATGGAAGAATTCATCGGAAAAGAAGGCGATCCACCAATGCTTTATGTGGACAACAAAGCTACGATCTCCCTAATCAAAAATCCGATTGACCGAAGCAAGCACATAGAGATCAAGTTCCATTACATTCGGAAGTGTACAGATCGGGAACTTATCAAGATTGACTTCATCCGAACAGGGGAACAACTTAGAGACATCTTCACCAAGTCTCTGGCACGGGTAAAATTTGAGGAACTTCGTTCAAAGATTGGAGTTCAAATAATAAGGTAGATATACTACAAGTTTTAGGAGGAGATTGTTAGATAAAACCTGAGGTTTTTCCTTATTTAGCTTTACACGTTTTCATTAGTTGATTGAATACCTTCCCTTGACCATTTGACAAACACATCAAATGGATTACCAAGTTTTTAGACAGCCATTTTGTAGGAAGTGGCACAGATTTAGTTGGCCACTCTCGGGCCATTTTTAGGATAAGTTAAATATTTAAATAGGTGAATCTGTTCAGAAAGATTTCAATCACCTCTTTTTTAGAGAAGTCAAATTGCAGTTTTCTCTCTGTCATTTTTACGCATTTTATTTTCTTCCAACAACTTTTCTCTCTCTTCCCGCCAAACGATTTCCTCTAACATCAATTGTGAAAAGGGATTTCCATGACCGATTATCGAAAAATAACATCTAGTACCACAAGTAAACTGAACGCATCCCTGCAATCAGTTTAGGGGAGAAATTGTTAAAGATGGTCATACTAGACCTTTTCTCTAGGGTTGATGTCCACGGTCATACTAGACCTTTTCTCTAGGGTAGATGTCCACTTCTCTATGAATGGTAGAACCACTAAATTAATTAATGGGTGGTTATTTTTCCTAGTTTTAGAGTTGGCTAATTTTATGCTTTCTAAAGTTGTTAGTTTGAAAGGCTATAAAAGCCAACTAAATTGATGGGTTTGTCAATGCAATTGATTTCAAAGCTTTAGTTTGTGTGTTTACAACAGTAGATGCCTAAAATAACATATCTATGAAATTTCTAAAAACTGAAACTCATCCCTTTTTACAGACGACAATGAACGTTGGTGAGACGAGAAAACGTACTTCGGTGAATGCAGTCGTCGAAGATCTCTTTTGCGAAATGGGTTGGTCGTTCTAAGCATCAAGTGTGTGGGTTCAAGCTCTAGTCTGTTAGGCTAATTTAATGCTTTCTCTAGGAATGGTAGAATACTAAATTAATTAGTGGGGGTTGTTTTTCCTATTTTTAGAGTGGCCTAATTTTATGCTTTCTAAGGTTGTTAGTCTGTAAGACTATAAAAGCCAACTAAATTGATCGGTTTGTGGATGCAATTAATTTCAAAGTTTTAGTTTGTGTGTTTACAACAATAGAAGCCTAAAATAACATATCTATGAAATTTCTAAAAACTGAAACTCATCTCTTTTTACAGACGACAATGAACGTTGGTGAGACGAGAAAACGTACTTCGGTGAATGTACAATCGTCGAAGATCTCTTTTGCGGCATGGGTCGGTCGTTCTAAGCATCAGGTGCGTGGGTTCAAACTCGCCGAAAAATGCTTTTAGTTTCTCTCTAGCTCATGTTTCTCTGTAATTTTTCTCTCTTGACGTTCCCCTTGCAGCTGTCTGTGGCGGAAGGGGTAAGTGGGAGAGATATGGGGAGTGAGGGAGCATGATCTCGGCTGAGGACGCGAGAATTTTGACGGTCGCCAGAATTCTCGAATTTTGTGGTGACTACGCTGAGTTGTTTTTTATAGCCTGTGGTTATGACATTATATACCCATAAAAAGAACTTCTGTCCTCGAAACCCTCTAACTCCTGCACTAATTCGGGATATGTTTCTTTTATTTCATCCACGCACTCCCACATAGCTTCCTCAATGTGATGGTTTTGCCATAGCACCTCGACGGAGACAATATCTCAATTGTGTAGGTCTTTTACTTCGCGAGCTAGAATTCTTGTGGGCTTTTCTTCATAACTTAAGTCTTTATTAAGCTAAAGGGGCTTGTAGTCTATTATGTGGATAAGGTCCATCATGTATTTCCTCAGCATTGGCACATCAAATACATTGTGTAAGCCTGAGAGGGAGGGCGATAGGACTAGTCTATATGCCACTGGACCAATTTACTCAAGAATTTTGAAGGGTCTAACGAATCGATGGCTCAATTTTTCCTTACATCCGAACCTCAAGACACCTTTCATTGGTGCCACTTTCAGGAATACTAGGCCTCCTATTTCAAACTCTAAGCTCCTACATCTTACATCAGCGTAACTTTTCTGTCTACTTTGAGTGGTATGCATCCTTAGTCTGATTATTTGAACGGCCTCATTGGTGACTCGAACTAATTCAGGTCCTAAGAATTCTCTATCACCTACTTCATCCCAGCATAATGGGGATCTACACCGTTTTTCATATAAGGCCTCGAACAGCATCATCCCGATGGTTGCCTAAAAGTTGTTGTTGTACGAAAATTCCATCAGGTTTAGTTTGGAATCCTAACTTCCCTTGAAGTCTAGTACGCAAGTGCGTAGCATGTTCTCTAGAATTTGATTTAAATGCTTCATTTGCTCATCCATTTGAGGGTGGAAGGCAGTGATGAAGTCGAGACGAGTACTCAATGCTTTCTAAAGGTCCCACCAAAATACCGATGTAAAGCGTGGGTCTCGATCCGATACTATTGACACTGGGACCCCATGCAATCTTACTATCTCTTTCACATATAGTTGAACCCAGTTGTCAACTATATATGTTGTTATCCTAGTAGGAAGTGTGCCGACTTTGTCAATCTATCGATAATTAACCAGATTACTGTGTAGCCTTTCAGCGTTTTGGGTAGTCTTACTATGAAGTCCATGGCTATATTTTCCCACTTCCACTTTGGTATGCTCAAGGGTTGTAACATCCCCACCATTTTTTGTCTAGGAGCTTTTACTTGTTGACATACTAAGCACTTGCTTACATACTCTGCTACGTCTTTCTTCATACTTCGCCACCAGAAGTGTTGTTGCAGATCTTGGTACATCTTAGTACTGCCTGTATGTATAGAAAATGGCGAGTTATGAGCATCCATCAATATCTCTTTTCTTAACTTCTCTATTGCTAAGACACATAGGCGTCCTTGACACATCAATCCGTCATCTGAGGATTTTGAGAATCCTTCCATTGGACCCTTGTTAGTTGGCTCGTAGTCTTATGTAGGCTAGAGTCCTCTCGTTAGGAATCTATAATTCTTTGTCTAATTGTGGGTTGTACTGTTAGTCGAGCCATCTGTGCTATGATTCCTTCAGACACTATAACTATGTTAGCTCGCTCAAAATCTTTTTGTACTCGTACCTCACTAGTAATGAGGGCCAACGAGTGGCCAATCATTCGACTTAGGGCATCGACAACCACATTTGCCTTCCAAGGGTGGTAATGGATGTCTATATCATAATCTTTCACCAGTTCTTTCATTACCTCATGTTTAGCTCTTTCTTGGTGAAGAAATATTTCAAACTCTTGTGGTTGGCGTAGATTTGAGATTTTTCTCCATACAGGTAGTGTCGCCAAATTTTTTAATGCGAACACTACTGCGGTCAACTCTAGGTCGTGTGTAGGATAGTTCTTCTTGTATTAGTCTAGTTGACTAGATGCGTATGCAATGACTTTGTCATGTTGCATCAACACACATTCTAGTCCTTTCTTAGAAACATCGTTATAGATCACATACCCCTCTGAACTCTTTGGGACTGTGAGCACTGGGCTGTTACCAATCTTTGTTATAGGTCTTGGAAGCTTGTGTTGAGGATTATTGGGAGAGTCCCACATTGGTTAATTTAGGGAATGATCGTGGGTTTATAAGTGGGGAATATTATCTTCATTGGTATGAGGCCTTTTGGGGAAGCCCAAAGCAAAGCTATGAGAGTTTATGCTCAAAGTGGACAATATCATACCATTGTGGAGAGTCATGATTCCTAACAGCTTGCCTCACATGCATCACTCCATGTAAATGGTACGTCCTTCCTCGTTAGTTGTGTAAGTGGCGAGGCTATCTTAGCGAAGTCTTGCAAGAATCTTCGATAGTACCCCGTTAATCCTAGAAAACTTCACACCTCTATAACTGTAGTTGGGCGTTCCCACTTGGTAACCACTTTGATTGTTGGTGGGGTCTACCACGTGTCCCAAGAACAAGTCGCAGCCAAAATTCACACTTGGAGAACTTGCCCTACAACTTGTTCACTCTTAGGGTGGTCAAAACTTTTCGGAAGTATTCTTGGTCCTTTTTTTAGTATACTAGGATGTCGTCTATGAACACAATAATGAACGTGTCTAGATAGTCCTTGAACACTTTGTTAATTAATTCCATAAACACAGTTGGGGTATTGGTGAGCCCAAACAATATCACTGCAAACTTGTAGTGACCGTATCTTGTCCTAAATGCTAGTTTTGGTACATCCCATTCTTTAATCTTGATTTGATGGTACCCTAACCAAAGATCTATCTTGGAGAATACCTTCGCCTCCCTAAGTTGGTCAAATAGGTTCTATGCGAGGGAGGAGGTACTTGTTCTTTATCGCCCTCTTATTTAGTTCTCTATAATTGATCCATCCTTCTTATTGACAAACAACATCGGTGCACCCCAAGGGGATATGCTAGGTCGGATGAAACCTTTATCCAGTATGTCTTTTAACTGTGCCGCCTATACTAGTGTGGTTTTCAGCTAACCAATTCATGCTTAGTATTACATCGAAGTCTTTCATGCTAACTAATATCAGGTTTACGCTTAGGGTTCAATCGGCTACGGTTACTTGGCCATCTTTTACTCTATCCTTAGCTACAAAGTCTACCCCCACAGGGGTACTTACAGACAATACATGTAATAAAGGTTCTAATTCGAACCCTATTTTTGTAACAAAAGGAACACATATAAAAGAGTGTTTAGAGCCCGAATCAAATATTGTAAAGCATAATGACCTGAAATGGGTAGTGTACCGGTCACCACGGTGTCGGACCTCTTAGTGTCTCTGTTGGTGGACGCATATGCCCTAGCTTGAGCACAAATTTGCAGCAGCCTGTCTACCTCTTCCACTACTCTAGGTGGGTTAGGTTAGTTTTTGGTGTCCTTGGCCGTGCAGTTGATGGCGATATGACCTTCTTGACCACATCAAAAATAGGCTATTGTCTCAGCCATGTACCTTTCCCCGTGTAGCTTCCCACAAATCCTGCACCCTATTTCCCCCTTCCTTTGGCCCCATCTTGGTTCCTAGGGTGTCGATCAGTACGTCAGGGAGGGTGTCTCTTTGCTTGTTGCTGGGCAGGTCGGTCGAAATAGCGGGGCCTATGCGCTGGTGGCTGATAATCTGAGTCTCTTGATCATAGGACCATTTGCGTCCAATAATAACTGGCTGCTCTCGCCATACCTTATCTCTAGGTTTCTCTAAGGCTTTGGCAGTTCTCAAAGTCTCCTCATAAGTTTTTTGGTCTATAGCTTCCACCATGCTACCAATCTCTAGGTCCAGACCCAAGAAAAATTTCTTGGTCATTTTCTGTTCAAACCTCTTTAATCTTATGAAATCTCTATCTTATCTTTCTACCGAGTGTCCACCCTAAGTTAGATGGGCAAAATCCTGCTTTTCCTAAGTCATTCTGCTTTGGGATAGTACTTGAGGAAAGTCTCCTTAAACCGATCTCATTCCATAGCTCCCCCTCCTAGGTGATACTATCCTTATTATCCATCCACCATACCTCTTCGTCCTTTTGCAGTACAGATGCCACATATGAGGCTTTCTGGTCATCCAAAAACCCCCATAGACTCAAATATGGTCTCCATAGAAGAAATCCACATATGAACTTCTATTGGATCTCTCGTAGTACTAGTGTATGGGCAGGGATCTTACCATTTTAAGTCCCTTAACCAATTTGCTCCTCTGGCAATATGTGAACTATTGGCTTGCTGGGTGACCATCATGGCATGCATCATGGCCTGGAATGACTCCCTCATTAGTCTAGTAATGGGTGTTAGGATCACACAACAACGCACATGCTCAATCTAGATGAACACAAAGAAAGGGATAGAGAAAATTGCAAGGAGAACTCTAGCTAAAAGGATTTTTTTTTTTAATTGATGACTTCAGGTATGTACAATAAGAGAGAATTACAGAGAATAGAAAGTACATTTCCAAAGCTCTACTGGATGGGATATATATATGGTTCAGTCTACTATATATAGCTTTACCAGATTTAACCATCTATTATATATAGCTATTTACCATATATAGCTTTACCTGATATAGCTTTACCATATATGGCTTTACCAAATATGGCTTTACCAAATATAGCTTTACCGGATATAGCCGTTGACCAAGCTATAAATATAGGGAGCACACTTCATAACTTAACAATTCTCCCACTTGGAGACTGATCCTACACCATACCAATTAGGGCTTTGCATAACCTTAATTTTCCAACATCGACACATTTTGTCAACATGTCTGCTGGATTCTTTGCACCCTCTATCTTCTCCAAACACATATCGCCTTCTTCCACTAACCTGCAAGTGAAATGGTACCGTCTTCTAATGTGTTTTGTCCTTGAATGATAGACTGGATTTTTCACCAACTGTATGGCACTCTGACTATCTGTACAAAGGATCTTCTTGCACTACTTCCAGCCTAATTCTTCTAGATAGTCTGTCAT